GGATGGAAGAAAGCAGAGGGTTGTTACAAATGGAGTTCAGTCAAACTGGATTAATCTCACAAGTGGGGTACCTCAGGGCTTAGTCTTAGGACCTTTGCTTATTTTGAATTACATCAATGACATAGAAGAAGGAATAGTAAATAAATGACTTAAATTTGCAGGTGATATTAAGGTCTTGGATGTTGCTAGCTGTGAAGAGGATGCTGCTGAATTACAAAAGGATTTAGATCATTTAGTGAGTTGGGCAAATAAATGACAGATGGGTTTTAATTATAATGAATGCAACATAATGCACGTGGATTATCATAATTTGAACTATAAGTATAATTGGGATGGGAATAACCTTAATAGTGTTATGAAAGAAAGGGATCTTGGTGCAATAGTTGATAAGTCTCTAAAGCCATCCAAGCAGTGTGCTGTTGCTAGCAGTATGGCAAGTAGGATTTTATGATTTATCTACAGAAATACTGAATTCAAGTCTAGAGGTTATAATTTCATTGTATAGGTCACTGGTTAGGCCACATTTGGAGTACTGTGTTCAGTCTTGGGCTCCTTACCTTAGGAAAGACATTGAATTGTTGGAAAGGATTCAGAGAAGGGTTACTAGAATGGTGCCTGGGATGGAGAGATTGTCATATGAGGAGAGGTTGAAATCTCTCAAATCAATTTCAAGAGTTAGGGCAGGGATTTGATTGAGGTGTTTAATATTGTAAAGTAAATTGATAGTGTTGATGCATCATCTTTTTTCATACTTAACAGTGAGAATAGTAGGTATAGGAGACACAAATATAATTTTTGGCAAGGTAGGAGTCATCTTCAGCTATGACAGTTTCATTTTACTAATGGGTTGCCTTTGGATGTTGTGTTGGCAGTAAATTTACGTGAGTTTAAGAAAAGCTTGATAAGTATATGAATGATAAGGGCTGGCTTTAAGATTTTTTCTTTTTTTAATTTATTTATTAATAGTTCGGTTTAGAGTTGGAATAGCCAAGATGGATCAATAGGTCCATGTTGTCATAAAACATTCTGTTATGTTAATTATGAAAAAAACAAACAATACTGTACTTCATCTCTATGTATGATCTTTACAGACAGTTTACAATAACTATCCTTGGTGTCAAATTAAGAGCAAGAAGGTACTTGAGATGACTGCTCTTCACAGAAAGGCAGTTATACCTATTGGCACTATCATCTAATGTTCTTTCCATCCATTGCACAGAAGCAGTGTGTAAAGGATCTGTTACTAAAGTCATCAAATGTCGAGCCAAAGAGCAACACCGCTCACTCCTCATTGGATTTCTTTTATATGGCATGGCACTGGAACCTATTTGAGATTTTTCAAAGGGCTCTTCCACTTCTTTTAGGCTAGCTAGTAGACGAATATCTGTACAAATCTAAAGTGAAGTACCAAAATATTATTTATTGAATAAACACACCAGTTTCTAAAAAAACTTTAACTATAATAACTAACTAACTGAATATTGTGGAAAAAATAAAGGAAATTTTCGCATACTTAAGAGATGATTAATCAATCCAAAAATCATACATCATCCAATCCCTTCATAATTTACCAATTATGGAACATAGTTTGTTTGTTGTTAAGCACAAAGCTACACAATAGCTACAGGTATTGAAACCTAGTTTTTAGTGTTATAAGCTTTCAAGACTTACTGCTAAGCCACTGGGGATAATTATGGAATAAAACATTGGTAACAATGAGAGTGCTCAAATAATTAATCAATGCATTCTAATCTTTTGTTGTAAGTTTATGTTTTTTGAACTTGTACCCTTATAGCTAGAGTGGTATTTAAATTAACTACATTATTTTCTGGCTCGATTTTATGCAGGTAGCTTGCTTTGACTGAAAGTTACTGATAATATCACAATCACTTTCACATGTATCAATTCAAAATCAAGTCTCAGATATCACATACATGACATCAAAGTTTTCTACAAATACATGAAATTATGGAGCATGCTCAAGAACAAAAATTCTTTGTTCAGTTAAATAAATTTACTTTATTTTAAAGGGAGTAAAAACAGATCGCATTTATTTAAATGGTTTTGATATACCGCGATGAGGTGGCTTAAAATGTTTCCTATGTTTGTGAAAGCCAGAGCTGTACTTGAAAGATGTCAAGATTTTATCCACTTTTAGAAAAAAACAAAAAAGCACTGTTTCAAATAGCTGTTCTTAACCGATTATTTCTGAAAGCACAAAAACAGTTAAACTACACTACTGTCATTATGGCTATATAAGCAATATTTTCAATTTTAAAAGTACTTCCTTTAATAAGATATCCAACTTAATTAGGTCATTAATTGGCAGTACTGAGAAAAAAAGCATTACACAAAGAAAATAATTTGTGAATTTTAGCTTGGTAAGATGAACAATGATAATTACTTAGATATATCTACATATTCTACCTAATGTCTTCACCTTCTGATGCTATAATTATACCTTCAATGTGTCCAGACAATTGTTTAAACTGACATTATTACTGGACAAATTGAAGGTGTAATTGAAGCCTGTATGGTGTTTGGCCAAAGTTTAATTTATGTATACTTGCATAGAAACATGGCACTCAGAAATAAGGTTGTAATATTGAGGTAAAAATGCATTTATTTAAACAACATTTCGTATACAGTTGGTCTTCAATCTCAACCAACTCTGGCAGGTAAGTTACAAGGAATATAAAGGGATTAAACTAGGCTTAATGAACAAAATTTAGAACAATAATAACATTTAACAGGATCAATGGGTTATTTTATAGGGTTCAACCAAATACAGCTCAATGACCTAAAAAGCATAATTCAGTAAAAGGCACCTTTATTACTGTTACAGTAAGTTGCAAAAGCCACAAAGTTGAGGCAATACAAAAGTAGGAAAACATCTACAAGTTATAAGAAAATGTAAAGCTGGTTCAGAAATTGAATGAAACCACTTGTTTAAATCTGAAAGTGAAATAAGGAAATGCCTAACTCAAGAGGACAAGTTGTACCACATAACAAAAGAACATTCCCTAATTCCAAGGATCTCCTACAAGTTTCCAGTTTAATACTTAACTTGCATACAGTTGTTTGTTTTTCCCTTTTGTCGATTGATGCACATGGTAGTACAAACACTGCTAAGGTGTCAGAGTTCCCAATGACCTATGCGTTTCATTTACTCATGGTATCATTCAGTGCAAGGTTTTATCAATGCATTGCTTGCCACATACACAACAAACTAAATAATGCAGGTGAATATAGATGAAATTACTTGCTCTATGTGATTTAGATCCAGTTAAACATTCTTGAATAAATAGCCAAGAGTGACAAAAAACACCTGGGCTAAACTGTCAAATTCTACTTGAAATACTATTAAAAAAACAACCATGGAGCCCTTCAAGGGGGGAGGGGAGGATTGACGACTGGAAGTTGAAGATGAAATATTACATTAAGAGTGTCATTTAATTATCTAGCCTAGAAACTTTCAAGCTTCACCAAAATAACTGTAAAGAAATACTCAATTTCTGCAGGGTAGCCCACCACACACAAAGTATAGAACAATAGTATGCTATTTAGACACGAGTTTTTACCTTCACAAGATATAAAAAGCCTAGATTAGCATGAAAGTATATTTCGACAAGTAACTTACAGCACACAACTTCAGATCCATATATAAGCAGGTTAATATACCTATAACTTAAACAAAAGATGAAAGGATAACATGAAAGATACATCTTTCTTACAACAATAACGAAAAATGTTAGAATATAACATTCAAGAAAACAAACCTTATGTGCAGATGCCCCAAGGCTAGCTAAGACACACAGGCAATCCACATCAACTTTTCTGCTGTATGTCTGACCACAAATAAGGTAAGCACTAACAGTGGGACAGAAAAATAAACACCGTCATAACCATGTCTAGATTGAATTATTCTTCTAAAATAAATCGTACAGACTATTGGGGAAATAAATTATTTACATATTATGAAAATATGCATACATACATATCTTAGTCAAAAACAATTAACTGAAGACTCTTGCACAACAAAATACTATCTTTTTAAATTAATTAATTAATAGGTTCCTCACTAAACATAGCATCTTGTTCCTGTTTTGTTGTATGTATTCCTATGGTAATATGATGTACATCAGTGGTTCCCAACCTTTTTTCAACTGATGATCTTCTAGTTCTGAACCAAAAATGGACCTCTTCATATAGTTTTAATGTTTTAATGTACTTTTCAATTACATTGTAAAACAATATACTTCAGAAATTATGGTTTAAAACACATTTTTTTCAACCATTTGGAATCTCCCTGTGGATCAGCGGTTGGGAAACATTGCTGTGCATTATATAGGTAGTTTTTTTCCAGAAGTTCCTAACTTGTTTAAACTATAATAAGTTACATTTCAATACCATTTTATTCTTAGAGATTTCACAGGCCTGTGAATTTAAACTTCATAAAAATTGTTTTGGTTTTAATAATGAATTTTCCATAATTCAACTACGCAGATTTCGAAAATAACATTCAGTTTTCTCGATCATGTAAAGATTTTGTACAAATCTGGGAAAAAAAAATTCTTACTCAGATCAAATTATTATTTCACTTACCGCAATGGATATTTTTTATTACTGTTATGTTTGTTAGGCCCGGCATGGCCAGGTGGTTAGGGCGCTCGACTCGTAATCTGAGG